AACAGTAATATTTCCTCTTCTGTTGGTTATAATGTTTTTTACGGTCAGGTCCTTCGTTACTCTTCCATTATCTCTGACCTTGATTCTTTTCTGTGTTCTACCAACACCCTTTATAGGACACTTCTTTCAAGATGTTATAATGACAGACTCCTGAAGAGTAAATTCAGAAAGCTTCTGAAAGACCGACCTAGTATTCTATACAAATACAGTATACTTGATGTCAGCGACATCCTTGACATCACATTTAACGTGAACAGGTGATCACTGACGAGTGATTGCTAGGGGGTCTTGGCACATTAAACCGGTACAGGTATTAAACCCCCGAAACCGGTGTGCCAAGTCATCTGCTGATGATGTTCACATAACATTATTTCCTCTCTCCTTTATTCCTTCCGTCTTTTCTTAAACTTACAGTTCAGTTACTTTATTTCACCAGGTCTACCTAAGGATCAATTATTCTTTGGTGGGGTTTCACTTCTGGTATTGGCTTCATTCCCGTTCCTTTTCCTTATTCTTTATACTTATTTTTTATATAGTTTAATGAGAATGTTCAATGTTCATGATTCGCTGTAGAATAAAGGGCGGTTCACAAAACCACATTTCGTTTAAATAATTAGATATCACCTCTAATTAGTTGCTCTATAGGGTCGGGAACAACCAAAAATGTTTTTGTGTCTCTACGGTTTCGTATAATACTGACTTGGGCCACGCCCATATTTTTCACCAATTTTTAACAGGTAAAATTCTTTAAATCGTCAATTTAGTCACAAAGGAGTATGGAAGGAGTTCTAAATGTGTGCTCCTCTAATATAAACAGTAGGAAATGGTTAACTTTAGTCGAGGTTTCAGGTCTCTACAATGTCGGGAAGTTCCTGCAGGAATTTGCGCATTGCGCTGAAGCGCAAGATTCACAGCGCCAAAAGCGAAGGTCGTAGAGACATGAGACCTTGACTAAAGTTAACCATTTCTTACCATTGCTATAGAGTATGCCACTTTCAGAGTCCTGAACACACTCCTACAGCTCTTAATCGTCAATTACATGTATATGAATTTTACCTGTTAAAATATATCATCTTTAACTGATATCAATTTAGTTTAACACTGTTAATTTTTGTTTTCAACATAATACTTCACACCAAACTAACGCACAATATGATAATATAAAAAAGGAAGGTTTTCCTTGGATTCCAAATTCAACTTTGATTATATCCTGGCACTGATTATGATTATCATTTCTCGATTGTTCTCCATTTTCCAATGCAGTCAGCAAGTTCCAATTAAGGTAGACATAGCTCGTCATTGATAGGATCAGTATTAAATGAGGTCGAATGATTACTTCATGGCTCGTCACTAACTGGATCAGCATAACATGACTAACAACTAACGCGAACAAGGTCCAGTGATCTCTTACTGATACGTCAAGACAAGATCAGTAAATAGCTAAAAATATCGAAAAAAATTAGCTTAGAAATTACAGAGTACAAATGCTTTCTTCACAACTAACTCTTCGGCCTCATCTTTTTAAATCACTCATTCCCTCTGAAACAAGATAATGCTTAGGACCAGGAGGAGCTTAGTTAACTTCTTGTATGATTCGGTAAGAGGAAAATTCCTTAGTAAGCTAACATTCTTTTGTAGGATGTTACCACTTATCATATCTGTTATCCAGCATAATCCCACAACTAGACCCTCTTATTCTTGAGTCTTGACAATGACAGTAGCAATGTACACTATTTTGATGCTCGATCCAGGTCTCCAAGAAAACCTTCCTTTTTATATTCTGTGTTAGTTTGGTGTGAAGTATTATTTTCTTTTTTAAAACTAACAGTGTTAAACTAAAATGATATCAGTAAAAGATGATATATTTTAACAGGTAAAATTCATATAATTGACGATTAAGAGATATGGGAGTGTGTTCAGGACTCTGAAAGTGGCATACTCTTATAGCAATGGTATGAAATGGTTAACTTTAGTCAAGGTCTCATGTCTCTACGACCTTCGCTTTTGGCGCTGTGAATCTTGCGCTTCAAGCGCAATGCGCAAATTCCTGCAGGAACTTCCCGACATTGTAGAGACCTGAGACCTCGACTAAAGTTAACCATTTCTTACTGTTTATATTAGAGGAGCACACATTTAGAACTCCTTCCATACTCCTTCGTGACTAAATTGACGATTTAGAGAATTTTACCTGTTAAAACTTTAAAATTTTTGCCGAGATTTACCTCATTTTACCTCACGAGGCCAGCCAAAAAAGGCAAAATTGGGATGAGGTAAAATGAGGTAAAATGAGGTTGACCCCCCCCTAAATATATTTTTTCAATTGTTGACTAATTTTACTTGACAGGCAGAATATGGCAAATATGCAGAAACGATACACTTTCCTTTTTATAGGATTGACTGTTGTAGCTATTTCATACTTTCATGTTGTGGACGTGGGATTCCTTTTACGAGGGGAGTATTCTTCGTCAGTGTTAGTGTCGAAGTGTCGCAAACCTTCAGCTCCCTTTGAACTGACAATCACAACATTGACAAAAAACTCTGCCTCATACATTGAAGAATGGATTGAATATCATTTGATGATGGGAGTGGATCATTTTTATATCTTGGACAATGAATCAACTGATGATACTTATTCAGTGTTATTGCCTTACATAGAAAAACAGTTAATCACTTATGTTCCCTGGAGGGACAGTTCATACACAGATGCTCAGTTCCAGACAGCTCTGAATACTCAACAAAAAGGCATGGCATATGCCCTTAGTTTATATGGATGTAAATCCCAATGGACTGCTCTAATTGATGATGATGAGTTTTTGTTACCAAAAGGTAATAGAACTGTAAAAAAAGTGTTACAAAAGTACACTAACTATGGAGGTCTTGCGATAGGTTGGGCTTGGTTCGGGAGTAGTGGTCATATTAGCAAACCTGAAGACCTGGTTATCGAATCATTTACCAAGAGAAGGACAGAACTAGATATTCTTTATAAAGCTATTATTCAGCCTCAATATTTCAAGCGCATGAAGACAGTTCACTACCCTGCCTTTAACCAAGGTTATTCTTTGGTAACTGAGCACTTTGATGTATTGTCCCCTATTCCTGAGCATGTGAAGAAGTTAGCTTACACTCTCAACCATCCCACAAGTGATATTATTCAGGTGAGAATTTCCTGATATTAAAACTTTCCTTTGAGTTTAGAATAGTGATACGATTAATTCAAAGAATTCAAATTATATTGAAAATGTCTTCTTTGACTTTATTTTGTCTTTGACAATATTTTCTTTGCAGTCTGTGCGGTCAGAAAATTTCAAAGCATACAGCATCTGTAAATGAAATGATAAAAACATGATTTCAGTTAAACCACTACAAAGTTAAGAGCAGAGAAGATTGGATTGAGAGAACCCACCGCGGTGCTGTTGCTGGGGATCCATGGAGAGATAAGCTGGCCGATTTTTATGCTTATGATTACAATGAGATTGAAGAAACAGACATTTTAAAGTTTTTACCTGCTCTTAAGCAAAGAATGGGGATTAAATCTTAATGTCTGTTATGATTATTTTTCAAGGGCTACTTTCAAAAATAATATATTATACAGTCTGATATAATGGCAAGTTCCTTATTAATATAAAGATCACCAGGAAGAAAATTACTTTTAAGAGGGAAACTTTCAGGGTGAGGTCATTACGTGTTCCTTTAAAGACTTATGATTGTTCATTAAAGATACATCCATAATCTTTCACATTCTTATCAAGTTAATTCACCAAGACATTTTGCATTTTCTTTTTATTAAATTTATACACTCTTTTACTGTTTAATACGTCGGAAATTTCAAATTTAACTGGAAGTATAGCATAGTAAATACTATAATAATAATAACAATATTGTTGAGACTAAAGACTCATCTCTTTGAAAAAGTATTCATATAAGTATCATATAATATCTTTCTCATAAAAACCATACTTCATAAAATTCTAAGTTCTTATGTACATGTTCAATGTTCATGAGTCGCTTTAGATGGCTCAAACTGAATCTTTGCATTTTGAGTTCTTTTTGGCTATAAAGCGATGTAAAAATTTCTAGTTATTATTATTATTATTATAACTTTCTATGAAGAATTTGATGAAAATATAAAACCTCTAAAATGGAGAAAACGCCTCCTTAAAGTATGAACGTAAGTAAGTAAATTAATTTCACTCGCTAAACGTTTAAAAGCTTTCACAGCTAATTAAATATGTCCCAATTAAATACAATTTTCATCTTTCAGTTCCGATTTGCGTGGAATGGGCCAGTCATTTCACTTCATCAATCAAATTTAAGCTCATACGTTTTCAAGATATATGATAAGTTTACAGCTGTTTTATACATTGATGCTTTTCATACAAACAGTATGAAATTTCATACAAATTTCATACAAACAGTATGAAATTTGTTGAGGTATACTCGATAATAATATATGTAGATACTATGATATTTATCTTTTTTACTGAATTAAGTTTATTCTCGTATTTTGTATCTTATCGGGATGGATTGTTGAATGTTTATGTATTTGTTTATTTAAATGCAGGAATCTGTCTGTAAAAGATATTGTTATATATTATATTTGCTGGTCTGGTGTTACAATTGTGTATGATTTTGTATTTTGGTATCGTTTTAGTCTTTTAGTATATATACATCATACAAAAATTAAAGTCAATAGCCTCTTTTGTCTTTGTCAATTAAATACAGCTAGGAAGAGAGACACATAATATACACATAGTATACACATAATTTAATACACATAATATACACATAATATACACATAATATGCACATATAATAACGTTGCATTGCTGTGGCACGTGATATCAATCATATTTTTGCTCTATATGAAAATACTCGGCTTGTCAAATTGTTACTTTAAGGGTTAGTTAATCTTTGTTGCTTTAAATTCTTATTATACATTGGCAAAACCCTAGTGCTCGAGCAAAACCCTTGTGCTCGAGCAGGAAGATGTTCAATTTAAAATAACAAATAATAACGTGAAGGTATGATGTAAGGATGTTAACAAATGGACACCTCTTCCCCAATTACTGATGACCCTGGAGTACTCAGTGTAAGTTTTTTTTTAAATACCATATTTTCTTACAAAACACAGTATCTTTGTACTAAGTGGTGGGTCTGCTCATGCTGCTCATTTCCCAGTAAAACAGTTAGTATATGGTACTAAGGGGGGTGTCCAACCCCAAAAAAACAAAATTCCAACATTACACTTAATCGACGTCACGTACGGAACTAAGTACCTGATCCCCCCCCCCCCCCCCCCCCCGATCTGAATAATGCAATGGTGTGCTTTATTATGCCATATTCATGACTCCTCATAACATATTATATGATAATATAATGTACACTGTTATGCACCATGTAATATATCACCCCATTTTAGAATTATGATTTACCAGCTGAAAGTCAACGTGTGGTATGCAGCTATGATTGTTCTTATGTACCTGTTATAATAGACGCGACTATTTTCACATATTTTAATGACGAATTCAGGGCGTTGGTTTAAGTCTGAGGATAAAGAACTTCCTGAAAGTGGAGAAGGCTAGAAGGTGGTGTCGTTATGAGTGGTTCTATTCTAACATAGACAAGTTAGTTACTCACACTTATCTATTCTAACATAGACAAGTTAGTTACTCACACTTATCTATTCTAACATAGACAAGTTAGTTACTCACACTTATCTATTCTAACATAGACAAGTTAGTTACTCACACTTATCTATTCTAACATAGACAAGTTAGTTACTCACACTTATCTATTCTAACATAGACAAGTTAGTTACTCACACTTATCTATTTTAATATAGACAAGTTAGTTTCTCACACTTATCAATTCTAATATAGACAAGTTAGTTACTCACACTTATCTATTCTAACATAGACAAGTTAGTTACTCACACTTATCTATTCTAACATAGACAAGTTAATTACTCTCACTTATATATTCTAACATAGACAAGTTAGTTACTCACACTTATCTATTCTAATATAGACAAGTTAGTTACTCACACTTATCTATTCTAACATAGACAAGTTAGTTACTCACACTTATCTATTCAAACATAGACAAGTTAGTTACTCACACTTATCTATTCTAACATAGACAAGTTAGTTACTCACACTTATCTATTCTAACATAGACAAGTTAATTACTCACACTTATCTATTCTAACATAGACAAGTTAGTTACTCACACTAATGATTGGACTGTACAACTTCTAAAGCAACTGAGAAACAGATTCACTCTCTTAATTTGATAAAATAATCTTCCAATTCAATTTATCTGTAACAACTATCACGTTAGCTTTGTTTATCCTGTTTATAATAACGGTTCCCGCCCAGGTTGATATTTCTGGGTAAGAATGACTTCGTGACTTGTGTCCAGTCAGCATACCCTGATATAGAACCGGGTACCAAACTAACTAGACTGCAGTGGTCCATGGTCCGACGGTCTCTCGGCAAACCAAGGAGATGCAGCCCCAAATTCTTTGAGGTAAGAAAGTTACTTGCATCGTGTTTTGAATTTATTATACCTGATTACGGAAGAACATGTGCTCGCAGTTCTGATATCATGTTAATTATTTGTTCTGGAGATCTCAGGAATGTGTATCACTATTTATAGAAATTGGTGTGAGGTTTAAATGTATGTTTATAAGATGACATATAATAACAATGCTGTATTGTTTTCCTGGGTTATCGTGTTTTATATAGTTCTCTTCTCACACAGGAAGAGCGCATGATGCTGGAAGGACAGCGAGATAGAGTACGAGAGTTACAGCAAGGTAAAGTGAACCCTGAAGAGGCAGAGCTTTACAAAGACCTGGCTGACGAGATACCGGCCATGCTTATTATCGGGACTAGCGTTACAGGTAACTGTGCTTATTATCGGGACTAGCGTTACAGGTAACTGTGCTTATCATTATGACTAGCGTTACAGGTAACTGTGCTTATCATTATGACTAGCGTTACAGGTAACTGTGCTTATCATTGGAACTAGCGTTACAGGTAAAGTTGTAACGCTATAAAATTGGCGATTTAAGAAGGGAGTTAGTCTTACGTGACTTTATTAAATAATGTGAAACCAAACCAGTTTAATATTTAATGTTCAAACAAAAACCCATATTATCACATAGCGGTTGTACAATGTACCTTTATAGTATACAGTTCACACTATACAGGTCCTAATATATGATTCATATTTGTGAGGAGATGCCTAAGAGAATCAATGTTTCATCTATTTTTAAGACACAGTTGCAACTGTCTGCAGTATTGAATTACTCCAACTATCATTCTATAATAGTATTAGATGGGTGAAATATCCGATACCACTGAAACTAATATTTCACCCGTCAACCTCCCCTGGATACATTGTATGAAGTGCACCCGCCACACATGTATTTAGCATCTCACATTTCCAACTAAGCCACTGATATGTGACCCGACTCTATAGTTCCAGATCTTTCAGTTTTCTCTTTCTTTCTTTCCGCTCCGTATTATTTAATCTTATGCATTATCTCACATTAAACTGAATTTTGTGAATATTAAACGAAATTAATCGAATATTCGTTTTTTTCATCAATGCCGTTTTGTCGGGCCATGTTATTTCATATTCGGGAATCTTAACCGGGTTTAATGTTCGACGAGGAGTTGTTCGACGATTCTGTTGCTGAAAATAAAGGTAAGCAAATAGTGCAAGTTATGTGAGATGTAATTTCGTCTTTGCCCAACGATTTAACATATTATATCGGTAGCGTATATACAGGGTGTACCGTAGAAAGTGTGACTTTTTTCCACTTCTGTAATTTTTTTACAAAATCAAACTTCATAGTTATTTTTAACTAAATTTTGTTGGAAAATCTCTTCTAAATGATCCCTAACACATATTTTGAAAGTTTCAGGGTGATTAATCAAAAACAGTCGGAGAAAAAATATTTTTAGACTCGATTTTCACTACGCCAGATAAACTCGATTTTCACTACGCGTGATAGAAAATCGCTCGCACAATACAATTACTTATGAGCGCTGACCTTTGACCAGCGATAACTTCGGCTAGGAACAAAATTTTTTGATAGGAACAAAAGCAGATGATAGACATTACTCTTTACTGTCAAAAATAGCTAAAATATTGATTTCGAAAATTTTTTTCTTGAGACCCCTAAATTACAGCAAGCTTAAGTTCCTAAATTAGCACCATAACAAAATAGCAATTTGTGAGAAATCAAAAATTGATGGGGACTTGAAATTTGGTATGCATAAATTCGACACCTAGTGACACAATGTGATGAAGAGTTTTTAGCAACTGCTCCTTCATAATATTTTGTATCATTTCTCAAAAAAGTCACACTTTCTATGGTACACCCTGTATATGAGGTAAATTGGCTCTTTAGCAGTTACAACACAAATTACACGACCCACAGTCAAGTCTCAAGAGATCTCAAAGGCAAATTACATCTGATGTAACACTACAGCTGTAGTGTAGTGTAGTAGTACTGTACAGTACAAGAGTATTACAATAATCTTATTGAAACACAACCTCATTAATAACACATTTTATCAGCTGATAGTCGCTGATATCAGTCTACTGATACTCAGATAGGTGAGCTACCCTCCCAATCCCACACCTGTCCAATTAGTATGATAGTGTGTAGACTGTAGTAGTAGCTGAGTAGTAGTATTGTCCCGTAACATTACGTTACCAGGTTACCAGGTTACCTAGAAACTGTGTCCTCCTTATGTAACCCTGACATTAGTATGTAATTATGTAATTATGTAATTATGTAATTATGTAATTATGTAATTATGTAATTATGTAATTATGTAATTATGTAATTATGTAATTATGTAATTATGTAATTATGTAATTATGTAATTATGTTATTATGTAATTAACCCTAAAATTTTCCGCAGCACACATCAAGGATGGGTTATTTGTAGGTGAGGTAGAAGCAGTGGACCCGACCACCAACACTTACAGGATCAGATTCGATAGACCTGGTCTCGGGACTCACACTGTTCCTGACTTTAATGTTCTGGTCAGTTTACTAAACTGTTTACTGTTCAGTTTACTGTTCAGTTTACTGTTCAGTTTACTAAACTGTTTACTGTTCAGTTTACTGTTCAGTTTACTAAACTGTTTACTGTTCAGTTTACTAAACTGTTTACTGTTCAGTTTACTGTTCAGTTTACTGTTCAGTTTACTGTTCAGTTTACTGTTCAGTTTACTGTTCAGTTTACTGTTCAGTTTACTGTTCAGTTTACTGTTCAGTTTACTGTTCAGTTTACTGTTCAGTTTACTGTTCAGTTTACTGTTCAGTTTACTGTTCAGTTTACTGTTCAGTTTACTGTTCAGTTTACTGTTCAGTTTACTGTTCAGTTTACTGTTCAGTTTACTGTTCAGTTTACTGTTCAGTTTACTGTTCAGTTTACTGTTCAGTTTACTGTTCAGTTTACTGTTCAGTTTACTGTTCAGTTTACTGTTCAGTTTACTGTTCAGTTTACTGTTCAGTTTACTGTTCAGTTTACTGTTCAGTTTACTAAACTGGTAACTGTTTACTTTAGTACACAATGTTCTTCACACCATTTGTGTGTAAGTTAATATATAATAATGATTTAATAATTTGACGAAATGATGCCAAAGCACAGTCAAATACATGGTTTTTTGGGACATGTCCCAGAAATCAGCTCAGAGAGTTCCCAAAATTTCCTTCGTCAGAAAAATTCAAAATTGCCATTTTTAACACATTACTTCCCCGCAAATAAGTCAACTTCTGAATGTTGTTTTGGAAGGTTCTAGATTTAACCAGCGAAGTTTTACTTTTGGGAGTCACTCATGAGAAATGTCCTTAATGTAACGATAAGCTCATATTTAAAAAATTCATAATCTTTCGACTGAACATCTTAATTATGTGTTCCGGGGGTAGTGGAATTTTGTTTACTCTGAAAGTACCGTAAAGTTAGGTCAGATATTGGAATCTGAATTCTGTTATCGATGATCTAACACATTACGTACCATCTAGCTAGAGGTCATACCATTATCAGGTGATCATAGGTACTAGGACCAATTTTTCAAATATTATGAGTGGCTACCCTTACCTATAGTTACTACCTTATATATGGTGATGTAACCATAGTAACACTACCTATCCCAGAGTAACACTACCTTATATGGTGATGTAACCATAGTAACACTACCTATCCCAGAGTAACACTACCTTATATGGTGATGTAACCATAGTAACACTACCTATCCCAGAGTAACACTACCTTATATGGTGATGAGACCAGTATAGTAACACTACCTATCTCAGAGTAACACTACCTTATATGGTGATGTAACCATAGTAACACTACCTATCCCAGAGTAACACTACCTTATATGGTGATGTAACCATAGTAACACTACCTATCCCAGAGTAACGGTGAAGTGGATATGATCTCTAAAGATACACTGTTTGCCAGCCCAGAACCAGCGGACATTCTACCTGATGTGATCCTGCCTCAAGCTAATCTCTCCTCCTACATCACTACTGAGCATGGTAAGTCACGTGGTAACACAAGTCACGTGACATCATTACGTTACTTGGAAATGACGTGACTTTTACTGACTACGGAAATTTACATGATGCATATTATCTATTATGATGGACGACATATCACTATGGAGATTATTACACAATACACATCCATTATCAAGCATATATAATTATTATTAAAGTCACTATTGTGACGGTACATTAGAAATAGACACAAACAAAGTGTGAAGGGCCTGAACGGAACCCCTCGGTTTCAGTTCCTTGTTTAACACTGCCGTACAGCAAGGACATCCACCGGGTTCTCCAAGGATGGGCACATAGCTCACTCCACACTATGCTTTGTCAAATGTTGCTTTGTCAAATGTTGCTTATATAGATGTCCCCCCCCCCCGTCAACCCACTGCGTCATGTTAGATATTATGAACGTGATAGTATTTGCTGATTGTTCCCGTGTTTCATCATATTCAGACTCTACAAGATGTAACACGAGAAACTCTTTAATTAGTGTAAAGTTTACTAATTAGCTGCTTTTCACCTTCCCTTTGTTATTAAACCATGTTTACTATCAACTCCTTTATAATATTTATAATAGATAACGTGAAACATCTATTGTATGGATATAATGAGCCATGGAATATAGTATGAGTCAGCACACATTGAATATTTGTACTGTGTTGAGCGATGTATGGAGGGCGCGAAATGGAGGGTTCAATCCCCGACAGGATGATCTGAAGTTTTATTGACTCGAAACGGACTTCCATTTTCAAAGCAGGACGGGTATACAGCTAGTTATTATTATTAGCTGTATTATTATAAACAGATCATATTAACTGTAGTAACATAATGAACTATATTACAGGTATCAGTACTGGTTTCTTGGGTGGCTATCCCGTACCATTTCTACGGTGTATTGTGAAGATGAACAAGCTACTGAAGGTGAAACGAGAGTTGCTGAACAAGGTTAAAAACCTTAATTCCACTGTCGAGAGAAAGGTTTGTGAAACTAACCTGTCTCAACATAGTCCATAACTTCATAAGGCACACAATTATTTATTTAGTATATAAACCTCTGAAACAGACAACTTTTCATATCATTTGTATGTTTCCAGAAGCTCAAGCTCTAAAAAAGGTTCATCACCTTCATCAAATTTACATGATAAACTGGATATTGTAAATTGTCAGAACCATATACAGATATTAAATATAAAAACATATCTTAAATGAGTTTGACCTAACTGGCGAGTGTAACTCAATTAGGGTACTCGATTAGGCTTACACAACAGCGGGACTATTGTTACACATTCTACACAACCTATCCTTTATACACATTACTTCTAAAAGTTAATCACCTTAATAACCTCAGAATGTGTGTGTGTGTGTGTGTGTGTGTCTGATCGTCTGTGCGTGCGTGTGTAATTTCCGGTTGGTTATATAAAAAAACGGTAAAAGTCAGAGGACTGGTTTTTTCAGAATAGTGTCGACAAAACTCTGACGAAGCCCATAAGCAAACATTTTTTAAATCGGCCGGTGGTAAGTGGCTTAATTGATGATTTTGTACCACAAATGTTACATAAAATGGCTTGAGCAGAACGGCAAGAGTTACGGGGCTCGCTCTCTCTCTCTCTCTCTCTCTCTCTCTCTCTCTCTCTATCTCTCATTACTGTATATGACGTATAAGTAACGTCATAATTGGGTTAGCCCGGGAAGATTCGCTGTAATACTAATGTTATTCCATAAGCTTATTAGGGGAGGAGGGACTGTTAGTGTTTGGGGTCTGTTTGGACTGCAGAGAGAGAGTTCATTCGACAATGTTATGCGTGTTTTCAAATATAATAGGCGGGTGTGGTGCGGAGTTAACAAGGGTTAATTTCTAGAACGATTTAAATAAAAATGGAAAGCGGTTCAAGAGGGAGTGATGAGGTGTAATAGTAGGTGTGCAGACCTTATGATCATGGAATGTGGTGCCTAATGGCTAATAATGACTTAATTATTCACGAGAAAGAACTGATTATGAGATTATTGTTAAAAATACTATTGGGTCACCTAAATGCGGGTTTTGACTCAGCGGGTAATTACTCCTACCCTTTTTAACTGCGGCAGTGAAATCCCGGCCAAAGGCCGGGTTACACTAGTAAACTAATAAATTCATGTATGCTGCGCGGGACATATATTTAGTTAGAAAGTTACGAACTCAGATCATTACCTTATGTCCAATGTCCATGTCCATTAGACAGGGGGCCGGGGAGGGGGAGGGTAAATCATCTCCACTTAATCTTGTGATAGCGCCATATTCCATAATTTTATCATAATGTATTGTCTATTATCAGATCCTTAAATCAAGCTTTATGATATAGTGCAATCTTGGCATATTATGTGACCGTCCCAGTTATATTGTGATAATCTAGTGAATTAAATAGTGAATAGTGATATATAGTGATATATAGTGATATATTATATATAGTGATATATACTATATAGTGCTCTCACGGGCTATTGAGGGATAAATCCTCTAGCTACTCTCTCTGTCAGAAATGTAAGACTGGAACTTGATTTAAAAGCTTTGCAATTGAATGACTTGTCATCCCCGAACATGCTCGGTACCGCCTAATGAGGCTCATTGTTGCACACTAGCGAGTAGCGAATCGTTCCCGATGGGGTCACTTATTAAGTGCCGAGATCACATATCCACAAGATCTTAAAAGGGTCATAACTCGGTTAAATTGTGAACAACCAACTCGAAATTTTGGGAAAGCACTTCAATCATCAAACCAAATTAGTCAAGAAACTTTGTTATTCCTAGCTCAAAGCGTTCTCACTTTATGGTGACAATAGTGAAAAAAAAGGAGTGGCGTGCCACACTCTCTGTAATCGATGGAATTTTAAGAAACCTTTTAGGAAATCTAAGTTTGACCCATATCTATATCCTCTGAAATTTTTGAGCAATTCTGACAAGAATTACGTGAGTTATTAAAGGGTTGCGTGTAAGTAGTTACTTCTGGGCCACCCTGTATATTATATAATATATTGTATCTTTTCAGACATCGTTCAAAGAACCTCTGGACAGTGGCACACAACTAATGTACGCCACAGTTGTCCTGGATTTAGACAAGCTTAACAAAGTCCTGCAGACTAATGTCAAGGATTTGCAGCAGCATTGTAAAACGGTACTTGCTTTCTTAACACTATTACTATTACTAAGTTACTATTATCACGGCGGTTCGAGCGCAGGTAGGGTCCGACCGGCGCCCTACCAGCAGCGGTATCCGCTCGATCTAAAGAAGAAAGAAGGAATGGGAGGAATGCAGCAATGAGCCGATATTCCTCCATTATAACTAAGCTTATCTTGTTTAACGTATAGATTTGTGATAGCTGAATTTTAGCCGCAATTTTTTCTTCCATTTCAATCAGATCAAAATCTTCAGCACCTGGGATCTGAGACTTTGGCAGCAATCCAAGTTAAGAGTGATTGTATGGAAGCAGCTGAACAACTTGTCAAAGAAGCAAACCAACTCATAAAGTAAGTGACTAGCCTGCTAATTATCTCTATAATATGTAGTTCCGCATGCCGTGACAAGACAAGAATTTCAGCGTCTGTCGATCCTTAAACCCTTAGGCGATGTATTCTCAATTTTGTGGCACATTTGTGACACGTCCCCATTTCTTGTCCCCATCTTTTTTATCGGACCTTTTTAGAGTGGTTCAGTGTATGTTTTTGGTATGTAATGATTACAGTAGTTGCTATGACGGTAAATAATAACAATATTAGATCTTTAAGTAAATCATCTTAAGACGTTCTAGAGTTTTTACTAAAATTGTAGCGCAGCTTGGCCCCATTTGTTAATGAAGTTAATAGAGTAATTAGTCACGCGGCTAATTACTTGCTCGATTCTCAATAATTGATTTCAATCATAGTTGTTAATAGCTCAGAATAAATTGGAATATGGTAGAATAATACTTGTAATAGCTCGATAGTTAGACAAATTACAAAAACCTAAATCACAAAATACTGGGCGTCTACATAAATTTGGTAATGGAAGGCGCGACCTTCAAAATGTGTGTTTCTTCACGCTAAACGCGCGCGTGAGAATTAACTGCGCGTATTATATTTGAAGTCGTTGGCCGGCCAATTTCATTTTGTAGCAACAAACTTGCTCTATTCTAACATTAACATTCCATGATTAAGGAAACATGATGAAAATCAAATAGAACACCCCCTGTTAAACCAATAAGTTGCAAGTGCTCGCTGCTTGTTCAGCGGGGGCCGGGGACCTACGTTACGCCACTGAATACGAGCAGTCAGTTCATAGTTGGGAAATAATATACATACTTAAAACTTTGATATTAATATCTTTTCCCGCAGGCTAAAACATGAGAAGTCCACAAAGTTTGTAGCAGAACTGACAGCACTTCTTATTCAAGTCGAGGTACGTGGTTTCGGTCGAGGAATAAAGTGATAGGAATTTAATTTATACAACATTCTATACATCTTGGAAAGTTCTCAGACTTAATTGATAAAATTTAATTGATAAAATTTAATTTATACAACATTCTTTACATCTTGGAAAAGTTTAAATTCTTAAGCAACACTGTGATGATCACCTGAATTCAGAATTATGCACTGTTTTGCTAAAGACCTTTTAATAATTTTAGTCTTGATCTACATATACAAATGTTTTTGATAATATTCTATTTCAGCGACTATCCACATCGAAGAACTCTAATTCCATGCCAGTTCTTAACGAAAGTATTAGAAATCTGAGGTCCATCGTCCACCCTTCTAACTTGCAGTAAGTTGACAGTTCGAAGAGTTTTTGTTCACAAATTGTGTATAAAAATGATATAATTTCCCATATGTTTAAAGAACACTTAACAGTTTTATTTTCAGTTCATTTCAAGAGAACGTAGAAGTTCCTTTGGCTCACATTCAGGCTAGATTAAAACAAGAGTTTCTAGCAAGTCCTGACTGAAGTGTGGAGGACAATAATTGTATACTCTGGAATCATGATGTAACCATCTTGTTGAAGAATTGAGACGAAATTTTGATAAAATCGATGTTTAACTGTATTGATCAGAGAAATAAATATGAACATAAACGCTTATCAGTATTAAACAAAGCAAATAACAGATATCTATTTAAATCCACTTAATGAAATATGTAGTGCCATGGATTTAAAAATTTAAATATTAATGAAACAAAGGCTTTATAACACTGAAAGAGCTTTAATTATGTAAATACATGCTTTTTTTAAATGCTGCCATTATTAGGCTTTTCTTTGGCAAAATTTGCATCTTGGAATGTCTGGGTGCATGCTAGAATGTTCACTTAAAAGTGAGATTTATTTAAGTATCATTCATCTCATTTTTAAAGAAATTTTAATGCTGGAGTTAAACCCATTCGAGTTATTAAGCATGTATGATTCGATCATAATCTTTACCGTTTCAATATCAAGTACAAATTCTCATATAACTAAGTTCTTAGAAAATTGGTGTTTCTTCATTTCTTGTGTCCCACAAAAATCCAAAATAACAAACACATCATAATCTAGTGTTTCTACAGAGTTCAAGCTCTGGCGGAACGATTTTCCCTGACAGATCGATTTTCCCTGGCGGACCGATTTTCCCTGAAGTAAAATGCATTGTCCTGGGACAAAGTTCCCTTTTTCTCGTAAGGGTTCACCAGATTTTTCGGAGGAATTTTTTCTTCCTCGATGATTTTGCCGTAATGATTCGCCGTGCAAGATGTAACGAAGCATGATATAACCAGGAGCAACCAAGATGCAAATCCTGCAAAATCATTTGTGAGTTATTATCGAAGAGATGGTAAGCATTTAATGCTAAAAGACATGAAAATATATCCTAGACATAAGCAACATATCTTGGATGAGATCAAAAGTTCTTATATGTACGAGTCACTAATTCTCTATTAACGTGTCTTTCATAGGCTCCTATGTCTCCCAAGCCACTGCCATTCCTTCTTGCTGCCTGCTGAATGATGAAGCGAACCCGTTTGTTGCCCCATGGCCCGTGTTCATCTGCCTACTGCGTGTCGAGGCAGCGCTTTCATTGCTGAAAACCTGGGACAACTTGACCTTGCCGGCTTTACGGACGGTCGCATTTGGGTCGTCTCCCTCTTCCACCATGCACTTTTTAATGTCCACAGAGTACTGATATGCGTTGTACCAACTCATAATACTGAGAGCCACGATGCCTACCCAAAACACAATTCCTGGGGGCGACTGCTTTTAACTTTAAACCTTTTAGTGGGGGGAGGCCCTTCAAGCTTTTCTACAATAAAATATGCATTATATGATCGTTATGTACTGTGCTTGTCAGCCGTAAACAGTGAACACTGAATATAATGCTTGGATATTGGATAATCAAATGCAGATGATCGTGTCACGTGACTATTGTCGGTTTCACATCATCTTTTTTTCAATTATGACTCTTACTTCAAACGTCAGCGTAGAATTACTCCGCATACATCCAACATGGTGTGCATGGCAACAATTACCGATACAATTATAAACACAATAAGTTTACACAACAGGAAAGTGAATGATCATCCTAATTGGACGGTATGATTCTGTCCATGGAGCTCTGATGCCCCGACGAAATGCTTGAAATATTGAAAAATCATTCCACCTGATTTGACGAAAATTGTAGTAAAACTTAAAACTGTCAAAGGACTTACCGAGGTATCCCGACCAGCCGATTTGGCAGCTTCCCAAGTTGAATGGTCCTAATTCCTTACAGAAGACATTAGCACAGGATTGATCGAATCTGTCGTACTCTCCCATCATTCCTAGCCACAGTAAAACCGCAACTAGAATCGCCGTGGCTGCAAAGTTATTGGTAAATATTTCCAATCATTTGTCAAAGCCCTCGAATCGGAATATTTAAAATTTAAAATAATTGTATCGACCGGTTTTATAACAATGTCATAATACCGCTAGCATATTACATTTATTAAATCTGAAAATAGCTCTCTTAGAGTAAATTTGCATTAAAACAGCTATAGATCATGCAGCGTTTTAAAGCTTGATGTTATAAACAATGGTACAACGATTTTTATCGTGTACTTGTTTATCAGCATTCAGCTTATCGACTTATTCTTCCTGACTATAGTCAAAGCAAAATTCATTACCCGAAGTACTTCTCTTTTCTGTTATACTCCATGATGGAAAAGATGATACAAAACTATGGTACAAAGTTAGTGTACATGTTCTACAAAGTGCACAAACCTCCCGCAGTAAGCGTGATAGCGATGAAGGTGTAAAGGTTACAACAGCAGCATGTGAGTGAACAGCAGCCAATCATGGTGAAGAACCAGGCAATGACACACAGAACCAGACCAACCAGGAAGAGCAGCGTACATATCTGGGGACGAGAACATTTCTATTTACTTCTCATATAGTCGTATAAGTTTGGTAGTAATATAAGCGAGCAACTACAACCTTACCTGAACAACCTTGCTTGAACACCAATAACAGGAAAAAGTGCTATCTCTGTGAGGTTACCTGGTCGTAAATGTTGCCGATTTTCCCCAAAGAATCATACCAGATACATTTCTCCTCCTGCATGTTGGGATAACATGTCATATTCTCCTCCTTCTGGACGTGGTCCATCGGGTAACACATTCCTGAAATTTAACATAATTGACGCGGGAGAAGATTAATTAGGGTTAATTAGTTAATTAATTAAGAGGGTTAGTTAGCTATAGTTTTAATTGTTTGCCCATGTTTGTGGGCGAACTTAAGAAAAAAAATTTTGTTTTTACTCACCGGATAGACCACATGACCCTTTGTCAGTGGTTGTCAGGACCCTGGTCGTATTTCTATTTGGATTCATACAGTCGTATTTCGTCTCATTTGGTATGACTATCCACGCTGGCTGAATTAAATAAAGAAACATTATAATCTTTCTCAATCGAATGCATTAATTCAGCTGAAACCTGATTTAACTTAAATTATTAAAACATAAGCTGTGAAGTTTTGTAAACGGTTTAACTTTTAAAGTTTCATGATAATTGTCAATAACAAGACTTGTAAGCTATAGAAGTAAAATGAGTATAATTACCTGGAAAAAAGCTATGAGAAGACCGATGAGAGCTACGTATAAAAGAATACAGGTGACTATGCTCATTCCCCGAGGGTATTTCAGCCTACAGTTCCAACACATTTTGCTATCCTACCTTCACTAACAGAGCTGCAAAAACGATAAATCTTTACATGTTATGTTCTTCTAATTATCATTGTGAATATTCGAAAATTGGCCTATTTTAACAGTGGAGAGTACCGCAAAGTGTAATTATTTCTTTATCATTTTTTATATAATCCGAAAAAATGTTTCAAGTAACTATTCACTACCTCAGACTACCAATAATCAGCAGCAGCCGTAAAACTAAATGTGCAGTCCAAGCAACGTCTCCACAAACAAAACAACCAGAAAACTAAACAAAACTCACACTCAACTAGAATACACTACGGAGATTCACCGAAGAAGCTCAATTTTTACAAGCGATAACTATTAGCTCGTCACTTCGGCGTGCAGAATCAAGTGTCGAAGTGGCTGCTGGTGACCCATATAATGCAGCCGCTGGACCATCAGAAGCACGTGACCCTTTCATGTGGTCTCCTCACGTGGTTTAAGCACTCAAGTAGTCAATTGGGCGTTTTATTGCCGTGCTTGACGACCAGTGCTTCAGTCATGCACTGCAGTTAGAATTGCAAAACGAAATATTAACAATGCTTGGATTTGACATGTGATTTTCAGTTCAAATTATTTAGAAAAGGAAAGTTTTGAAAATTCAAGACTGTTTCGACATGTATCAAATGCATAAATGATCAATCAATGCATGATACCGACGGTAATTGTGCCAAGATAAGGAAATTTAATTTATAATATTCCTCAATCCACAGCTGCAGCCCACTCAATTTTAAAGCAAATTATATTTAAACATAGCAACAATGAATGGATTAAACTTACTTAAGCTAGAAGTTACGGCTAAATGAAAACATGTGAATAGAGTCACGAAGTCCACGATGAAACAAAGTTTTAGTGGACGACGAAAGTTTACCGGTAATCCTGAGCAGTTAGCATGTAGAGTAAAAACAATAGTATGTAGATTGTAGAGAGCTAAAGACACAAGCTCATAAAACTGATAAATCACGTGATATAAAAGTGTAGCTCCTCTCGAAGATTGCAGATTTGTATTGTCTTACAATTAACATCAGCTGATGAGTCTAACTGTTAACTGTGAGATGTAAATGTTTATTTGAAACGCTAGAGCTTATAAAAGCTAGCTATTTGTAGACTTGTTGAGAAGCAGGAGCAGGCCGACTATTGGTGTTGGATCAGATAGTATGGTGGTCGTGAATAATTGCCAGAGCGGTTTCTTGCTTATCAGCGAATAGAGGCTCATCGTGCGACTTTAAGTTTAAATTTAGGTAGACATAGTCATAAGTTGTATAAGTAATAAGAACATGCGATCATTAGCTTCTCCTAGCGACGCTATAAATATATAGTTTTATAGACCCAAATACACGGGTTCTGAAGTATTTTCTACAACTGATAATCGTATTCGATCTAAATGATTGCAAGGAAATTCATACATTTTTATTTTTAATCCGGAGTAATTAAGTAACAATATTTTTTATTGTATTCCGCCTGATAAAGGAATGGAAATTCGTTTCGTAAGTTTATTCAGAAAGAAAACTAGGACCATTCCTTCACAAATAGATCAATCGTAAATTTAATATATCCTTCTGAATACCTTAGTTGTCGGTCTCTGCTGAAAGGAAATTAATTAATTAATTAATTAATTAATTAATTACTATAAATTTAGCGGCTAACAGTTTAAATTTCGGTTAAAGAGTCAAAAGCATAAATCAGAATCGTTTGATCAACGGCCGTGTCAACAGCCAGCAACTTACACTTCTTGGTTCTAGATTGATTTGTAAACTTATGTTTTTAAGCTTACAATTAACACCATAAAAATAGAAATTACTGACCCACAAAAACAGTTCAATAATCATGACTACAGTCAAATCTTTCTATAGCCACGTTATTGGAATAGCTTTGGATCGGTTTACTCTCTGAAGAAGCTTAAGAACAAGCAAACTCATCAAATTAGCTGAAAAGGTGTTTGATATTGTCATACTGAATATACTTCATTTGATTAAATGCTCCAAATCTTCTCAAATCTGTGTGAGATAATCAACATTACCGCCAACTAAAAAATTTCATTACTTTATTCTAAAATATATGCTGTGTTCCACATGATATCAGTTTTAATTTTATGGATAGGATGATGGATAAAAACAAAATCAGAAGAGAAGACTAAAAGAAGTCCGCTTTTTCAAAGGGCATGCGTCATCTCAAGGTGCGAGTAAGAGTTCTGACTGCATCGTTGAAGAGGATTTCCAATTGACGAGCAACGGAAATCAATTAGTTTAGCAGTTATATAGTATGCTGACACAGCTGCACTTTCATCACTTTGTAGTTAAATTATGAGGGAGTACGTGTTAACGTCAGTTCTTGGCTGCAAGTTTTCTACTATTTGGAAATGTAATGCTTACTGCAGGTGAGCTCCTTCCTAAATTTAACCTTGTCATAGAATCGGGTGTTTTATAAGATCCCTCTCGCAAACCTCCATTTTTGGCAACCTGAGTTACACGAAAACTTTTTGTCCGAGAGGACGCAATCCCTGAATCAAATGAGGACGATTGTTTGGAGTTACTGACACTTTTTTCAGGTGATTTTTGCGAAATTTTCTGTCCCTTCTGTTTGTAAGTTTGTGGTTTGGTATTTGTTTTCATGACGCCAGAAGCTGAGGATAACGACGATTTACTCGAAAATAACTCTCGTCTCAAAGAAGTTGGTTTGGACAAAATGTTGTTAGAAGTAGAAACTGACTTTTTGATAGGAATTGGAATAAGACTGCTTTGCTTTGAAGTAGAAATTGTTGATGTCGAAGAAGATTTCGTGCACGTTTTAAAAGTTTTAGGCTTGGGAGGTCTGGAGATTCCTGATTGAAATTGTGTTGATGATTTGGTCGGTTTTTTGACGGGTTTTGCCATCATATGCTTTGAAGTGGTCATCTTTGAAGACTTACAGGTCATTGAAGAAACGTTCTGTTCAACTTTTTGAGGGATACCTGTATTCTTCGTCACATGAGAATGAATTCCGGTCAAACCACGTTTTTGAATGTGAGAAGTTGATTTGACGTCACCAATTTTTGACGACATACCTTTAACCGGGATCGTCTTTTGCTTTGGCATTGGCGAGGGGAATTTTGGAAGCTGCTGTGTTGTGTTGTTTTGATTCAATTCAGACCCGTTTGAGGTCCTCTTTTTAGTCATATGTGTGGTCGCTGGTAGTCTCGACTGAGTTTGCTTAATATTTGAAATTTTGCGATTAATGGCTGCTCCTGCGGACGCATTTGTTCTCGGTACCCTAGGTTGGCCAGGCACTTCAACAGTTGATTTAGCCCCCTTGCCATTTATGCTTAAAGACTGGTGATGAGATTTTGGCAAAGAAAAATTTGAAATTTTTCCAGTGTTCTTCGTGGTATGTTTTCTATTGTCAGGAATCTTTTTCTCTGAACCAACAAGCGTATTGATAATACTCTGAGGCCTTAATTTTGGAATGCCGCGAATCTTAGATGGTTCTACCATGCTGCTCGACTTTATGTTATTGCTAGCCAGGGTCTTGCACTTAATCTTAGCAGCATCTTGATTAGAAGAGTTTGATGTCGTTTCTTGGTCTTTTGGTCCTTTCAGTAGAAATGAAGACGGAGAATTCTTAGTTAAACTTCGTGGCAGATCAAGTTTAATCTTTTTGGGTCGAGCGGTCTTATTGGGCGTGTTTTTAGCCATCTTCTTTGGAATGACAGCAGTGTAAGCAGTGAAATCAGTCCTACCTCCACTTTCATCGCTAAAGTACTTACACCCAGTCTCGGTATCCTCTGTCTGAGATAAGGACCCCGGGTCGTCCCCCACAACCTTCTCATCTTCCTCGTGGTCTGAAATGTCTGCCTCGTAATCATACTCCCAGTGATCGCACACACAACAGTAACTCCTGCTACCTTCACTTCCCACAGTTACCTCATATTCTGGTGTTCCTCCTCCACTTTTCCTTGTCTCTTGAACAGTGTCTGATGTCGGGGAACTATCACTATCTGAGTTACGTCTGCTGTAAAGACTCAGATCCATCGACTCCATTAAGCATGGTGGGATGTCTGTTAACTCGGAGAATTCCTCGTCCAGTGGAAATGTCATGTTAGATAATGTGTTGTCCCTATTTCGGGGTTTTACGCTGACTTTGATTTTGTGTTTTTTACCGGTAACGCTGTCCTTCTTTTTTATATGAATTAGACCAGAGTTACTGATAATCGGCAAAGCAGGAGCGGTCACTGAAGGTGATTCTTCAGAAGAAATTGTTTCTTTCACCAAGATAGGGATATTTGATCGGTTCTGATTCACTGACTGCTTTTGTTTTTGACATACCAAGCTTGACACATCATTTTTGGGTGGTGGTTTGTTCATATTTGCTAAAAGACAGTGTTTCCGTTCCTTGTCCTCCTCAGCAATTGGGAGTTGTCTCAACAGGTCAAATTTGGATGGCTTTAAGCTTTTCCTAGGGAAGATGGGAACAATTGGAGAAAGGCATAAATTACTATTAGTAGGGTTGCTGCTAAGTAATTCATGTACATGATCGTCCTTTGACACAGGTGTAATCAACACAGGATGATTAACTGCTTTTTCTATTGACCTTAAATCCGTATGACTAAGCGAAGGGGATAAAGTTCCCAAAATTCTACTTGTAAGGTCCTTTTTCAATGACCTCACTTCCTTAGAAATAGCTCTGTTGATCTGCATTATCAACACTTTTTTCATTTTCTCGGATATAGGTCTTGAGGAGGAGTGCGTCCAGGACCCGTCAGATGTTTTTGAAGTGACCGTCTCATAATGAGGAATAGTTTTCACACCGGCACTGGTATCTAAGTTATCACTAGACAATGATTCTCCAGTCAGACTATCAAATTCACTGGTCATCTGGTGCGCTGTAGTTTCGGACACGTTATCTTCTGAGTTGTTCATTGTATCTACTTGGTCACAAAGTAATCTTTCGGTCGAAACTGTAGAACGCTGTCTATTCTCATTAACAATATCGGGCTGATTCTCCTTAAATTCTCCAGATTTTTTATCAATAGTCCGATCAGTACAAAGAGGTCTGTGTTGGTTTTCAATTCCAACCGAGGAGTTCATAACCACCTGGGTAGACGGGTCCATCTTCTTTATTATTTCCGCAAAGTCCTCTCTTATTTGGGTTCGTTTATCGAGGCTATTACTTTCCACGTACTCGTGATAAGTGGTACAGATATCACAGCATAGCACACAAGGTTTGCAATCAGCCATGGTACCATGGTTCAGAGACATGTGCTTCCTTTTCATCGTCGACTTAATCTCCCTCCATAACTTTATCAGGGCGTTACATTTATCTAGTTTATTCATATCAGCAACACGAACAGTTAATTTGTGAATAGGGCCAACAATGTCCTTGC